GTCCGCAGCTTTCATGGTCTGTTCTACCACAACTGAGGATCCAACAGACGCCCATCAGAACGTCCCCCAAAGCATAATACCGTCACCACCAGCCAGTTTATAACCTGCTGTACGGGGGGAGCAACGGTTCACCTGGAAGACGACGTACCCTGATACGACCACTGATGTGATGAACGATAAATCGTGAGTCATCCGACTAGGCAATTGTCTTCCACTTATCCATGGTTCAGTCTCTATGTTCTCAGGCCCACTATAATTGACAAAGACGCTTGGCACACGAGAAAGATGTCTTCTGCGCAGTCCCATATCCAAGAGTGTCCGCTGAACTGTGTGTTCCGAAACAATTGCATTTGGACCTGCATTTTATTCGGTTGCCAGCTGAGCTAGCGTCTGGGGCCGATTTTGCTATACCAAGCGGGACAGTTTCCGGCGTTCTTTTTCTTTAATGACACGTGGACGTTCAACACTTTGGCATCTACTGCTGGTTTCACCGCCATTTATCCACTTTGCATAAATGCTAACAACGGCAGATCGTGAATAACCTACCAGTCGCATTTCGGAATACTCGTTCGAATTTCGGACATTAAATGCCGTCATAAAATCCGCTGATCGCAACTTTCCACCTCGCAAAAGAAAACCACACAGTTAAATACCATCCCCTTTCACGCTTACGTTATCCACAGTTCATGAAAATTGGATGCTAATATGTTACATCTAAACTCCGGACTATCAGCGCCTCCACATCTAAACTCCGAACTATCAGCACCATTACATCTAAACTCGAGAATAATCCTACCGAAAAACGTAGTTAGAACTCTAAACCCGAACTCGAATGACTGTTAGAAGGAGAGCGCGTAATTTTTATGTAGCCTAATAATTGTATATAAAATGTATAAATGAATCTAAATATAATCTTTATTTATACAGAAGTGTCAGTCTTTATGCAAAAGCTTCGAATAAGAATTTAGAATGGAACAAGCTCGGCTCCCGGGTGAAAGAAAAGGTAAGAGATTTCTTTTTACCTTTTAGAATTCTATTGAGAGATACAACAATTTTTTTGGCATGCCCGAGCTAAGAATAAGAATTTAAATTAGACAATAAAGATTAAGAATACAATTATTGATTACTTTTTGAATTTTTGAACTGTTAAGAACATGTCTGAAGAGATCTTAAATAAGTTAAAAAAGAAGCGCGCAGCTCTCCGAACATCAGTAACGAAATCGCTTAAAGATTTGGAATCGCAGCTTTCGGAAATTGATCCGAAAATTCATGATTTGGAAGAAAATTTAGAAATATTAAAGAATAATTTCGAATCGCTTAAATGTGTTGATACAGAATTAGAAACTTTTTTTTAAAGTCGAAGAATTTGACGCTGAATTCCAAAAATCTGAAGACTATCGTCAAAAGGTCGCTAAATGCAATTTCCGTACCTCCAAAAGAATCGTTAAAACGCAAATCTACTGAAACGGTAGTAAATAACCAGTTCAGTACTGAAAAAACAGCGAAGTCAAAATTAACGAAAGTCTGTTCGAATTAAATTACCTAAGTTAACTTTAACGAAATTCTACGGAGATATAAACAACTGGCTAACCTTTTGGAACAGTTTCGAGTCTGCCATTCATAAAAATGATTCATTAGATAAAATAGACAAATTTAATTATTTGAAAGCTCATTTAGGTGGTTCTGCTTTAAATACAGTCGAAGGATTACCGATTACTGCTGCTAATTACGATTCCGCAATTGATCTTCTAAAAGAAAGATTTGCGAAAACAGATGTGCTCATTTACACTCACATAAATAACATTTTGAACACTAAAACCGTTGAAAATCTCGAATGATGTTCGCGCCTTTAGAAAATTTTATGATAATATTTCTATCGAATTAAGATGTTTAGAAAATTTGGGTCAGTCTCTCGAGAATTTATCAAGTGTGTTATGTCCAATAATTCTGAAATCACTTCCCCAAGATATTTTGCTTGAGATTAACAGAATGAGTAATGGAAGTGCGTATTGTAATATTAAAAGCCTGTGCTTGATTATAGCTCAATGTTTAGATTCACGCGAAAGGGCGGAAGTCATAAATAAGAATTCAGAGCATTCGACAGCGAATAGTGGGCGCCGTCAGTCTGCGTATGCAGTCCAGAAAATAAACACTCGTCATTTCAGCGATGGAAAGAGCAATAAATTAGAAACGAAAGCTTCTTCTGCTTCTGATTTAGTGTCCACGGGTATTAAAGAAAAATTGATTAAGGCATGCGTTTTTTGCGGAGAGTTTTCCCATTCAAGCCATAATGCCCCCATCCAAGCCCTATTGCCCAGAAACTAACGAATGACGAAAAGGTTGAAATACTACGCAAAAACGGCACTTGTTTTAGGTGTTTACAAAATAAGGGTCACATCAGCAAATTTTGTGATTCTAACATTTTTTGCTCCCATTGTCACTCTAAGCATTCTACGATTATGTGCAACAGAATTAATTCCGAGAGTAGGAAGGGAACGATCAAAACTGTCCAGGAAGTTGAAAATAAAGTACTTTCGAATCAAAGCAACCGTTCTGAAGTTTATTTACAAACTTTGGTCGTAGGGGTAGCTGGGAAAACCTTAAAGGGTTATTTAAGATTGCTAATAGACACCGGAAGTCAGAACACGTACATAAGTCAATATGCTGCTGCTAAAACGTTGAAATTAGAAAAGATAGGAACTGAAAGAATTAAACATGGGTTATTTGGGGGTGTAGAAGTTTCGGAAGATCATAATCGTTATCAAATAGATTTAACTAGTTTGGATGGAAAGTACAGGTGTAAAATCGAAGCACTAGACCAGAGGAAAATTTGTTCGTCACTACCTAAGATCAAAGACGAAAAAGTTAATTAAAGTAATGGAAAAAAGGGGAATCCTTATCAACGACAATCATGTGAATGGAAATCTCTGTCTGTTTCAAGAAAATCCGGAAGAGATTCATATGCTGTTAGGAGCGGACACCGCAGCACAATTGTTCACTGAAAGAATTGAACATTTTGCGGGGGATTACGTAGCCTTTGAGACCAAGTTAGGCTGGACTTTAATGGGCAAGATTAAAGAGAATGCGAATACGTCGAGTTCCCTGTCCGTTCTTTCTTTATCCTTACATGTTTCCGATACAAATTTGTCCAATCTTTGGCGTTTAGACACCTTGGGGATTTCAAGTGAGGAAAACAAAACGAAAAGTGTCTTGGAAGAAGAAACCCGAAAACATTTCTTAAAAAGTGTAAAACGAGATAGCTCAGGGAGATATGAAGTAACCTTACCCTTTATTTTAGATAAATCCGTCTTATCCAGTAACCGTACTATGGCAGAAAGACACCTCGTCAAAACCGAAAGTAAACTAATTAACACACGCAGAAGAAAAGATTACGAAGAAAATATTGATGAGTGGGAAGCGAAGGACATTATTGAGGTAGTAACTGAGGAAAAGGAGGAAGGAGTGCACTACTTGTCACACAGACCTGTAATAAAGAGTCTAGTGAAACTACAAAGATACGGCCTGTTTTCAATGCATCTGCACGTTCTAAGAATTCACCCTCTCTCAATGATTGTTTGAGTAAAGGACCAAATTTAATAGAAATTATTCCACGTATATTGAATCGTTTTCGAAAATATCGCATAGGAGTGTCATCTGACATCGAAAAGGCCTTTTGTCAAATCAAAATAGCAGAAAAGGATAGAGATTTTTTAAGGTTTCTATGGTTCGATAATCAACATAAGTTTAAAATTTACAGACATAACCGAGTTGTTTTTGGACTCACATCAAGTCCGTTTCTGCTAGCCGCTACACTTAGTCACCTTTTGACTACAGTCCCAGAAAAAGTTTGTAGAAACTTCTAATATTTTGAAGGATTCATTTTACCTCGATAATTCGTTAATTAGCTTAAATCACGTAGATGAAGCCGAAAATTTCGTTCAAGAAGCAAGATTGATTTTGGCTTCAGGGCATTTCAATTTGAGATGTTGGCGATCAAATTTTCGCATTGACATGATCGATGAGATAGAGAGCAAGACGAAAGTTGTCCCAGTATTAGGATTAGTATGGGATTTAGAAAAAGAAAGATAGATTTAGAAAAGATGAGTTGCAAGCAAGATCGAAGAAGAAACATTTAACTTGAGGGAACCTATTACCAAAAGAAAAGTTTTGTCAATTACCCAGAAAATTTTTGATCCCATTGGCTTTACTGCACCGATAACTGTAATTCCTAAGCTAATTTTGCAAGAAACATGGAACCAGAAGATTAAGTGGGATGAAGATCTTCCTCTTCCCCTAAGTGAGCAGTTTGGGACTTGGTTGAACCAATTGCCTCTGCTATCTCAGATTGAAATTCCTCGTTGGTTAAATATTGATTACGAAAACGAAGATACCGTAGTGCTCCACGTTTTTTCGGATGCTAGTAAAAGAGCCTATGCCACATGTGCATTTTTAAGAGCTGAAACCATCGAAGGTGTAAAGGTTCAGTTAGTAAGCGCGAGAAGTCGAATAGCCCCTATTAAAGAACTTACGATTCCACGGCTTGAACTTCTTTCCTGTCTGATAGGTGCCAGGCTTGCCAAAACAATTCTATCAGATTTGAAACTTAAGAATTGTAGAACAGTGTTCTGGAGTGATTCTTCTACAGCTTTGGGGTGGATAAGAAGGAGATCAAGCATGGGGTACGTTTGTTCACAATCGAGTACAAGAAATAAGATCGCTTACCAGAATATCTGACTGGAGGCATGTACCTGGAAGTTTAAACCCAGCGGATCTCCCATCGAGAGGATGTACTATTGAGCAATTACAGAAATCGGCATGGTGGGAGGGCCCATCGTGGCTTTACTTACCAGAAGACGAGTGGCCCCATGTAGAAGAAAAGCCTGATGAGAAACGAACTTATAAACAAAGAAAAAAGGAAAACGATTCTGACTCTTCTAGATCATGGAGACAATTTGGACCGATACTACAAATACTTCTCTTCATATAGAAAAACCGTGAGAATGATCGCTTGGATTTTCAGGTATTATGATAATTTAAAGAACAAAGAGAAAAACCTAACTCCTGATGTCTCAGTTGATGAATTGGAGAATGCTGAAAAGGCACTTTGTAGATTGGTACAGAAAGAATCATTTACAGGCATAAACGATCCCGCTATTCGTGCGCTGAGACCAATCGTAGACCGAAATGGAATTTTAAGAGCCAAAACGAACGTCCTACAGCGTCAAGATAATGAAAATTTCCGATATCCTATCATTTTACCTTCAAAACACCTTCTTGTTGAGAGACTAATTTACGAGAAACATCTAGAACTCCAGCATGCTGGTGTCAGCACTTTAATGACAAATCTTAGAGAAAACTTTTGGATATTAAAATCCAGGAAAAAGTATTCGAAATATTATCAGAAAATGTGTAAGATGTAAAAGATTTGTTTCACAAAGAGTGGAAGTCGAGCCAGGATTTCCACGCGAAGACCGAGTCAAAGAAGGGGCGACTTTTGAAGTCGTCGGTGTAGATCTAGCGGGTCCTCTCTATCTCCGTGAGAGGTCTAAAGCGTGGATAGTCTTGTATACGTGTGCCATTTATAGAGCCATTCACCTCGAACTAGTTACTTCTCTATCTACGGAAACTTTCATCCAATCTTTACGTAGATTCATTGCCAGAAGAGGTAGACCTTATGTAATATATTCCGACAACGGAACTAATTTTGTAGGGACTAACAGTGTTCTTAAGAAAGTTAATTGGAACGCCATATGTTCAGACAGTTATGTTCAGCAAGGACGCTTCTATCCGATAAACGAGAGATTACAATCGCCCGTTGGTCCAAGTTCCCCCGACGCCGCCTGGTGGGGAGGTTGGTGGGAGAGGCTTGTGCGAATGGTGAAAGAAAATTTAAGAAGAGTGTTAGGTCGAACGTCCTTAAATTATGAAGAATTATATACTATATTATGTGACTGTGAACAAGTGATTAATTCGCGACCTATCACATACGTATCAGAGGATAATCAAGATCCATCACCACTGACCCCTATGATGTTTCCTGCAAGAATTGCCGTCATCAGGAGTTTCCTGATATGGACTACGTAGATTCCAAAGAACTAAACCGTCGAGCCAAATACCGACAGAGAATAAGACATGATCTACGAAACAGATTTCGTAATGAATATCTTGGTCAGTTGAGACAACAGGCAATAAAGAAGGGAAAATTTCAACAGTTGCAAGTAGGCGATGTCGTTCTGTTGGAAGACAGCCAGAGAGACGACGCATACATTGGCCTTTAGCCAAGATAGTCGAGCTTTTCCCCAGTAAAGACGGAATAGTTAGACTAGCGAGGGTCAAGACAAGAAATGGAATTCTGCTTCGTCCAGTGCCCCGGCTTTTCCCGTTGGAGATCTCTACTTCCGAATCCGTTGGCCCTCCGTTTCCCCGACAGAGCACCTCGAGATAGAAACGACCATGCAACTGGTCAGGCTGATCAGGCTGCTAGTATTCCAGAACCTGCCTCAAGTCCTCGAGTGATGACCAGAGCTGGACGAGTTGTTCGGCCTCCTCATCGACTAGACCTGTGTGTATTGAGTCCCTCCGCATCGTCGGATCTCAAGGTGGATGTTACATCTAAACTCCGGACTATCAGCGCCATAACATCTAAACTCCGGACTATCAGCACCATTACATCTAACCTCGAGAATAATCCTACGGGAGAACGTAGTTAGAACTCTGATCCCGAACTCGAATGACTGTTAGCTGAAGAGCGCGTAATTTTATGTAACCTAATAATGTATATCTAATAATTGTATATAAAATGTATAAATGTATGTAAATATATATCTTTATTTATACAGAAGTGTCAGTCTTTATGCAAAAGCTTGGAATTATTTAGATATTTCATCGAATAAGAATTTAGAATGGAACAAGCTCGGCTCCCGGGAGAAAGAAAAGGTAAGAGATTTCTTTTTACCTTTTTAGAATTCTATTGAGAGATACAACATAATATTTTCGTTCGTCAGTGTATTCCACTCGTTATCCAGTTCTGATTGAGATATATAAAGCCCTCTATTAGGGCCTTTCTTCTTCAATACTTATGGCGAACGACATTTTACACGCACATACAACTAGTCTTGCCTGATACACAAATAACAATGCAGATTCTCACCAAAAATACATCTTCAGCTCAATCAAATAAGCATTACGGAAGAGCTTATATGCAATGCTGATTTGGCTTCAAACATGGAAAATAAAATAATGCCGAAAAATTGTAAGCTCTTCTTCTCACGAGGAAAAAAATAATTGAAATAGTTAACTGAATAACTATAATTCCTCGCACTAGGCAAGTAGTACCTGGATTTAATTTTTCATAAAAGCTTACGAACTCTTAAACTATACACAGAGCCGGTTTCGGGGTTTCCCGCAAATTGGAATAAGAGTGCCCACCAACGAAGTCCCCTTTAAAATTGTATTTTCTGGAGAAAGTTTTATAGACTATTGCATAGTTTATTGCCTCTAATCATTTTGTTTCAAAAACAAAAATTACGCTTAATATATTTCGCATTTATAAACGAGAGTTTCTTAAACTATGGGTCGCAACCCCAAATGTGGTCGCAAATCGAAATTTTGGGGTCGCAAAAATTTAGTTCGATAGTTGAATTTAAAGAAATTACATTAATTGACATTAAAGAGATTAGACTTATAAAGACGTTACATTAATTGATATTAATGAGATTAATTGCCTCTTATGTAAAGTGAAAAAGGGATTTGTATACAAATTTATAAAAATTTACAAAAATTTATAAAGCTGTCTAGGGATTCAAACTTAAAAACTTGAGTTTTCACAAAAATCCTTAATGAATTCTGGATCGGAGTTAAAAACTAGATTTCTCACTGTTTCTGAAATGGCATTAAATTTTCTCTCATTCGGCACCACATATTTTTATGAAACTACTTTTTCAGTTTTAACGCTAATTAAAACCAAATGTCGTTTAACGCTGAAATATGCTGAAGATGCTTTATGTCCAGCAGTGTCAAATATCGCACCAACATTTAATTTTTTATGCAGCAGAAAACAAACATATCTGTCTCCTTAGAACTTTCTTTAATTTTTGCTTGTTTAAAATAAATCTTAAAACTAATTCTTTTTAGATGTATATCGTTTACCAAAGGAGTAAATTATTTACGGAAGGATATTTATTTTTATATCTTTATTCTATGTTTAATATCTGGGGTGTTGCGAAAAAATTCTCGGTGATAAAAAGGGGGTCGTGATTGGAAAAACGTTTAAGAAGCCTGTTATATACATTAATTGTTATATACGATTAAATCGAAAGTTGCTTCTTTTCATTCATGTGTTTTCTAAATATTTACATTTTCACTTAATAAAAGTATTCCTTTATAAGCTCGTGTTATACTTAAAAAACTATGTTACACTATCTTCTGCTTCTAGTCTTTGGTTCCTTAAAACTAAAATTTGTTTGCCAGTTTCCTGAATTTTGTTTGCTTCATTTCTCGCTTCATTACATAGTTTACTTCAATCATACAGTCATTTTGCGCTGCCTTTGAACGTTTACTTAATTATTTATCCTATCGTGATGTTTTCTTCAACAAATCTATCTTATACTTTCTTTTTATGATTTAATTGGATACGATCTACGTTGAATAAAGATATTACACTGACAAAATTACGTGGACTAGAAATTTACTATGGATAAATATATTTAAATGGTCACACAAATAATGATATATAGTTGTTTCTGTCCAAAATCGAGCTTATATATTGCAAATGTATTCTATATGCAAAAACCGTCTGTTCGTAGATACAGCATTCACACTAATTCACTTGTAAAATCTGTCTATGCAAAAGCTTCTACGTTTGAGATTTATTTAATCTGAGAATTACTAGAAGTCGTCTGCCAAAGAATTTAATTCCATCGTTTCTGCTAGTGGTATTTTGGATATCACGCTATAAAATGTGAATATTGTCAAGGGGAAAAAAAACTGAACAGAGAGGAAGCTTGAGGACAAAATCTGATTTTTAAATTTTAATTTAAAATTTTAAGAGCGTATCTACTAATCTTTTGGTAGCAGTGAAAATGGATTCGGTTTTCGACATATTTCGAGTGCTTGAAAATTGCAGTAACCAACGGCGTAACTAGGGCATAACTAGAGAACATAGTTACGCCTAATTTCTGTGACCCTAGTTACGCCACTGATTACCAACGGAAGAAAGAGAAAATTCTGAGTTCTTAGTATATTCCACGATTTACAACACTCAAAGAAAGTAAAAAATGAAAACGATTTTCGAATAATAATGATTTTTATCAAGGCTGGATTAATTATTAAGCTATATAAACACGTGTTTATGAGGCTACAAGACGAAAGGCTACACTAGAGTGTTTTTACTAGAAAAATTAGGAAGTCAGAATTTAACCATCCCCTTTTTTGTTTGCTTTTAATCAACAGTTTAAGAAGAATGAAAACTAGGGTTTTTTTAGGGGGGAAAATGCACCAGTTGGTCTTAATGAATGTTTCCTTTTTTAAGGATCAGTTTTTAGAGGCATTTTGTGTTTTCGGGGTAGAAAATGTTAGAAATCAATTATGCGAGTTTCAACCATGAATTTTCCAGCGTTAGCTGAACATACTATTTATACAACAGCAAGTAAAGAGCAATGCCAAATAGCCGTTTTCCTCCGTATAGCGTTGCCATTCCTCGCTTTGAAATCCTTGAGTTTGTTAATCAAAATTTCCAAACCAATTCCAAATTCGGTCTTCCAGATGCCCACATTCGAGTGGAGGACTAGGTTATTTAAAATCTGATGTCTAAGTATCATTGTTTTTTTTTTCACACTGCCACAAACATACATACATTCGCTCAGCTTCTTCATTATTTAATTTCTTCAAATATAATACAGGGCTCTAAAATTTTGTGTAAACAAGTTCAAAAGTGAATCGCCGTTTTATAGTGGACGACGAAAATAGCCAAAACGAAAATGCCAAAACGAAATTAATAGACCTTCTGGGCAAACTTTCCCTTTGGGCTAAAAATGATGCAAAAGGACTTACATTTCTCGGCATCCCCTTTTTCACACATACACACACATATATCTGTATGTGCGTGTGTATAGTGTGTGAAAAAGACGTACCAATTATTGTTGAGTAAAAAATATGTTCAAGGGAACACTCGGTTATTCATAACAAGCGTCTTAGTAAAAATCAAGACGAGAGAAAAAATAGTCTGTGAATGACCATGAGACTAAATATAATAGCCTTTTTACGTACTACAACTGCTTTTTCTGCAAAAAAATCTAAACAGACTTCTTTAAACGAAGTAAGAAAACCTTTCTAGTTACATCAAATAACAAACGTTCCTAGTTTATTTTTGTTTACAATTCTTTCAAAGATCGCGGAATTTTCCATCTATGATAAATATAGGATATACAATTAACTCCTGATTGACCAGTGTATATATACACCATGCACGTCGTATATGATATGCACGGGTAATTCAGTATTCAAAATCGTTGTTAATCCTACGACAATTCAAAAAACACAGGAAAAGGATTTATAATTCAGTAATCTCCGACTCGGAATACACAGTCGAAAAACAGCTGCAAGGGTAAAAAATTATCTTATTTTTTATCATCTTATTTTTTTATTAACAAAATAATTTAACTAAATTTTAATTTCGCTTACTAAATAGCTAATCAAAACATATATAAAGAATAATAATAACGCAAAGGAAATTTTAATTTCGCTTACTAGATAGCTAATCAAAACATATATAAAGAATAATAATAACGAAAAGGAAAAATTCAAATTTATATTTATTTTTAATCTGAAAGTTTGGTACCTACAAGATATTTTTGTTGGTTACACTGGTAGTCATTAGGTTTATCATCCTACATTTAGTTTGTTAAAACATTATCCACATTTCCGAATAAGGTAAAATTTTCCATTTTTGAAATCACAAACATTAAATAGCATAACATAAAAAATTAAATTTTATACAAATAAATAAATAAAAATATATGAATAAATATTTTATTTTATTCCTGCCTTAAATTTATTTTCTTAATGGCTTATTACCTCAAGAAAAG